GCTATAACACTTGGATTGGTTCACATTGGCTGTTAACAACACGTGCTTCTATTTTGACCTACCAGATGGCGCAACACGCTTCACGCTCGTTACGTACGCAGGTACTACGGCGTACTAAAAGCCGATTAGTGGCAAACTACGCCACGTAACGCAAGGCGCTTGCGTGATGCGTACGTAGCACCATTTCGCAGTACTAAAACTCTCTAATGAGTGGTGGGACGCTGGTGTAAGATCCAGTGGCTACGTATTCGGGTTTGCCAGTGAGTGGTTGTGCTGCTCGAACAGTCACACGCATCTCATGATTATCAAGTCTGCACCAGTCACATAGCTTCGTCATCCATTGATTGATTGATTTGTGGGGTTTAACATCCCAAAACCACCATATGTATATGAGAGACGCCGTAGTGGAGGCCTCCGGAAATTTCGACCACCTGGGGTTCTTTTACGTACACCCAGATCTGAGCACACGGGCCTACAACATTTCCGCCTCCATCAGAAATGCAGCTGCCGCAGCCGGGATTCGATCCCGCGATCTGCGGGGCAGCAGCCGAGTACATTAGCCACTAGACCACCGCGGCGGGGCTAGCTTCGTCATCCAGTGGTGGCCCGTAATACCAAGTTTGGTACATGTGAAGCTAGCGAAACAGCCGCGATCGCATCATGAGCGTAGCATGTAGTCATGTGGTTACATGACACGCATCTCATCTTTATCATGTTTGCACCAGTATCATAATTTCGTCATCCATTCACGCTCCGTAATACCAAATTTGGTATATGAGATCCTAGCGAAATGGCCGCGAGCACATCATAAGCATGGCATGAAGTCATGTTGTTACATGTCACGCATGTCATGATTTTCATGTAAGGGTCGGTCGCTCGTGTTCGGCATGCAATCATGTCATACCATACCAGTTTTGCAACATGCCATATGAACTAAACCACCACAAGACCTGCAGGACCTTGGAATGTCATGATTTTTATGCTATGAATAGACAGATATGTTCTTCATACAGTCATGTTATGCCACACCAAGTTTGGTATCGATACCATTATTGAAACGGCCGGGAGAGCTAAAAGTCGTAGACGGCTAGATAGACAGATAGATAGATAGATAGATAGATAGATAGATAGATAGATAGATAGATAGATAGATAGATAGATAGATAGATAGATAGATAGATAGATAGATAGATAGATAGATAGATAGATAGATAGATAGATAGATAGATAGATAGATAGATAGATAGATAGATAGATAGATAGATAGATAGATAGATAGATAGATAGATACGCTCAATGTCGCCGAAGTTTGGTAAGAAATGTTTCGCTTTCAATAAACACGAAATAACAATGAATCATTCCCAAACTATCTATCGCCTCGCAAGGCCGACGCAGGCAGCGTCTGCTAGTAAAAAGAGACTGTTCGAGCAGCACAACCGCTCACTGGCAACCCCGAATACGTAGGCACTGGATCTTACATCAGCGTCCCACCACTCCTTGAAGGCAACGCTTCAACTTTATTCAATAATTAAGAATAATGGAGGCGAAATAACAATTAAGCATTCCCAAGCTATCTCTCGCCTCGCAATGCCTATGCCGGCAGCGTGTGCTGTAAATAATCAAAGTATATCCACGACATTCATGATGAGTGGGGTGAAGCGTCCGTTCGTTCTTGTTTATTTATTTATTTATTTATTTAATTCCAAATACTGTTGGCCGTTATGTCCGTAACAGGGTGGGTACAGTAAACATAAAACAAAAAAACCAAGTACAATATATTGTATTGAAGACAGAATTTTTTTAATACACAAAGGAAAAATATTTAAACGCTGTTAATAAAACGTACATAAATATAATGTGATGGTAGTATAGTTTGCAATATGAAGTAACTACGCGATGTATTTGCAAACAACATGGCAATATATGTAAAGTACTATAGCAACACTCAATGTTCACGACATATTTTAATGCACTGTTCAAAGCTTTCTATGTTCTTCGAATTCAGTACCGGTAGTGGCAACTGATTCCACTCTTTTATCGTTCGTGGAAAAAAAGGAATACGCGTACGCATCAAGATTGCATTTAGGAACCGAACACACAAATTAATTGCATGATCTGACATTGCTAGAAGGCCTGGGAACAAGATAGGGTTAGTTTCAATATTAAGGTGTCCTTTTGATTTCGTTTTACTGTCGAAGGTGTTACTGAGCTGCTCTTACGATTAGACCCTAAAAAATCCGCAGGACCTGATAACATTCCCACCGCATTTCTCAAAAGATATGCAGAGCTCCTAGCTAGATTCTTGGTACAGTTGTATTCTAAGTCTCCTGAAACTTCTTGCCTCCCACTTGAATGGTTGGTTGCCCGAGTGAAACCAATTTTTAAAAAAAGCTCCGTCACCGATTATTGTAATTACCGACCCATATCTCTCACTTGCACAGTTTGTAAAGTTCTCGAACACGTAATTGCTAAACACCTAAATGATTTTCTTGACAACAATAATCTTCTTACTAACGTACAGCGCGGTTTTCGAAGAGGTTTTTCAACTGCAACTCAATTAGTAGTTACCGTTCATGAGATGGCACAGGTACTTGACGAGGGCGGACAGATTGACGCAGTTCTAATAGACTTCTCGAAAGCGTTCGATAGAGTTCCACACTCGAAACTAATAACAAAAATGAAAAACTTAGGCATTTCATCACAAGTCGTCAATTGGGTCATTTCATACCTAACTGGCCGCAAACAGTATGTTGAAATTGACGATGCCTGTTCTCGTTTTCTTGGTGTTTTCTCTGGCGTCCCACAGGGTTCGGTCTTGGCACCGGTTCTATTTAACATTTATATTAATGATCTTGGCCAAATTGTAAAGCCCCCTCTACGCCTTAAGCTGTTTGCAGACGATTGCATCATATTTAGCCACATAGTGTCTGCCGATGACCAGCACGTTCTTAACCATGCTTTGCATGCAATAACGGAATGGTGCAATAAATGGGATATGCTTATAAATCTCGACAAGACAGTTCACATGTGCATCGCCAATAAGAATAAATCTCCCTTCATGTATAGTCTTGGCAATTATCAGATTAAACAAGTGGAGGAACATAAGTACCTGGGGTTAACCTTGACGTCTAGACTTAACTGGTCAACACATATAAATAACATATGTTCCTCTGCGAGAAAGAAGTTAGGATTTCTGAAGCATAAATTAGGTGATGCCCCCTCGTCACTTAGACTCATTGCATACAAATCCATTGTAAGACCCACCCTGGAATACGGAAGCATTGGATGGGACCTCCATACTATCACTAATAAAGAAAAGCTTGAAAAAATTCAGAGATTGGCAGCTCGCTTTATTTATAAACGTTTTAGACGTCGCCACGTCGCGACTCCCCTTCAGCTATGTTGGAGCTCGCACACCTAGAGCCATTGGCCAACCGACGTAAAAGTGCCCGTCTAAACTTCCTACACCAGCTATATTTTAATAAATTGGGAATCCAGTCACAAGATAACCGTAGTCGAGCGTCTCGTCACAAACATAGCCGAAGTATTACACCGTTCTTTGTCCGTACAGACCAATACAAATATTCATTTTTTCCCAGAACTGTTTCCGATTGGAATGTTTTGCCAGAGTGTTCACCCTTGCTGTCATCCAATGTATAATGATTGCATACTTCCCTGTTGATTATGTACCCTCACATTCATGTGTAGATCTTGCATCCGTACGCATGTCTTCTGGATGTGTACATCCCTCTCCTGCTTGGACCTCTCAAGGTTCGCAGTATTGTACAAATAAATAAATAAATAAATAAATAAATAAATAAATAAATAAATAAATAAATAAATAACAAGAAAAGAAATTTAAGTCGACCGCTTTGATATGTGATATATTCTATATATTCTTCTTACTTCCATCCGTCCGTGCGTGCGTCCGTCTGTGCGACCGTCCATGCGTCCATCCGTCCATCTATCAGTGCATCCGTACGTGCATCTTTCTGTCTGTCTGTCCATCCGCCCATCTAGTGAACACTCAAAGTACCGCCATCTCACATCTTATTAAATATTCAGCATATAATAGCACCGCCATCCGAAGGACAAAACAAGTGGTTGCACTCACGCACGTTATTACGGCCTGCACTTCGTGTCTACTTTCCACCTTTCATGAGTGATATTGTAGTGAGTCCGGTTCCAAGTGAGCCCGAAGGACAAACATACATTTCATGGGTGAGCCTGAGTGAGCTCCACGGTTTCCCGACCTGCGCCATTCGTGAAGACATTGAGGTTCGAGCAAAGAACTTACGAACGCATGAGCCGTCTGCTGATTCAGTCTGGAGATAGGACATGCGCAACTCCTCGTCGGTCAAAGTATACATGTTGGACCGGCAAGTTTCCTCTCTACTTCAGGAGCGATCATCGGCAGCTTAATCACGCTTTCACTCGCACATAGGGCACCTTTGTCGATGTGGAGGCATCGCAGCGACGGAAAAAACGCGCTCGTAGTGACTACATTGTCGCGACAGCAACAATGTGATATATTCTATATTCGGGGGCATCGGAAGAAGGATTCTATATTTGGGGACCCATTTTTTAAACAATTACTCGAGAGCAGGGGCGAATTCAGAAGGGGGTAGGGTGGGGGGGGTGCGATTGTCTTCTTGCTTCCTCCCAGAGTCTATGTCGGCAACCCGCCCTCACTTCAGAGTTTGTCATCGACCCCCTTACTTTTATCAACAATTACAAGTTAGTGAGGCCAGTTACTAGGGTAAGCATAAATTAACTGTATTTATGATGTGATCTGTTTCTATCGTGATGATAGTAACCATTAAAACGCGATACTCATTGTTCCCCCTCCCCATCTATGGTCTTACTTCAGGCGACGCCCCCCACTTTACAATGAGCGGCTAGATACCGTCCTTATCAAGGGGGGGGGGGGGGGCTCGTATTGATTCAAACTTCTTGAATATATGTTAACCTTCTGGTGTTTCTCTTGCATTGTGTTTCAGATATATAGAACTGGAAGATTTGCCATGTATGATTATGGATTCCTGAAGAATATAGAGAAGTATGGCAAGGTGAGGAGAGGTTTCGTTTTACAGTATTTTTTTTTTCGCTTTCCTTACAATCTTTCGGCCACGAAATTTACGGTTCAACTCGCAACTCTTGTGGACTTTTGTGGTTTCTTTTTTAATGTTTTGTTATTGCCTGATTTTCCACAGCCAGTTTAATAATGTAGTGAGGTATTTTATATAGATTGCCCCGCCGTGGTGGTCTCGTGACTAAGGTACTCGGCTTCTAACCCGCAGGTCGTGGAATTGATTCCCGGCTGCGGCGGCTGCATTTCTGATGGAGGCGGAAATGTTGTAGGCTCGTGTGCTGAGATTTGGGTGCACGTTAAAGAACCCCAGGTGGTCAAAATTCCTGGAGCCCTCTACTACGGCGTCTCTCATATTCATATTGTGGTTTTGAGACATTAAACCCCACATATCAATCAAATATATTGTAGAGATTCGCCTCGAAAAATGTAAATTTCCGTCGGGTTTTGCGTCCCTAAACGACGATATTGCCACGTTCCTTTCAAGTTTTATCACTCCGTTACACTATACGTTCAGCGCAAACCGCACCTACGATGTTCGAAAAGCTTCGAGGCTGCAGTAGATCGTTTTGTTGAGATTGCGCCCACTTCGTAAAGATTGCAGATTATTCTGGAGCCTACGTCGACCCTAGCGATAACGCTAGAATATTCGATGGCGAGTGTATAAATGCCGACACGCTTCGCCGCTTGTCAGCTGATCGACGGCCGACACTGTGCTCGCCGCTATCAGTGCCAGTGTCTTGATGCGGTCTAACTTTCCTTTTACGTGGCCACAAGTTTGGCCCGAATATGCGGTTTAGTATTCCACCTGCAGTCTGCTGCTTTCAACCACGTCACGACTCCATGACAATATCATTAAGAGGCATGCTGTAACGGCATTCTGTAGAGGCATGCTGTGGAGACATGCTCCAGAAATCGCAACCTTCTGTAGCTTTTTAGCGTGCATATAACTTCAGTAAGGGCGTCTAGCGTTTCGACTCCATCGAAATGCGGCCACTGTTGCTTGTAGCAACAAAATTCAGATGAAACATGCTCGCTGACCAAGTCTGATGATCTGACGTTTCGGAACCGCATACTGGTAACTTAACCACCGAGCTGAAACAGAAGTCGTCGTCAGTTATGAAACGAGTCTGGCCTTCATAACCGATGAACGACCAAGCGAAGTTTCGTCGAACTCTTGACAACAGCAACGAAATTGCTGCGCTGCAACGCTTGCTCCTTTCTCTCGATAGAAGACGGGCCTTATATTGATTCACCTACAATCTGTGACTTTGTATCTTTCATTGTACTGATGACAATACTTCATCTATCTCGTGACAGGCTGTGCCTCCTAACTATCCCGTGGAAAGAATCGAGGTTCCTGTGGCACTGTTCTCGTCAGTGGGGGACACGGTAGCCGACTCAGATGACGTCTCTGACCTCGCTCAAGCTCTCTATGGGACCTTATTTTTCCACAATGTTGTGCCACCAACCAACTTTCGTCACCTCGATTTCGTTCTGGGACATCAGGCGACAGATTTCCTTCACGAAAATATGCTCGCTGCCATTGATAAAAAGGTTCCGAGAACGTAGTCATATAAATAAACCTTCGCGGAGCTCTTATTTTCCTTACAGGGAGCCACCGAAAATTTTGATCTGCCTACTTTGTTTAGCGCAACGGAAAGCTTACCGGTGACTGTTTCTAATGGCGAAATGGTAACGCTGAAAAATGCCGCGAAACATTTGTAATCAGTTGAATGTGTCTTAAATGTTGATGAGTCTGTGTTGATGTGTGTGATGTGTCAATCAGTTGAATGTGGGTTGCAGCATGCGTCACAACGCACACTGCAAACAGCGAGTGCGATAGTGGTTTGTGTTCGAGCGCGGTGGTTCGCTGAGCATGCCTATACAGTCTGCTCGCATGTTCAGGCGGTCTCAGTGATCCTAAAATTACCTAAACGAGGGCGGTGTTGCCCCTTGGCGTCCCGATTTATTGCCACATCGAGTACGCGCAGAGAGCATCCACAGTGACTGTCATGCAGTGGAAGCAACAGCTCGCCTTGACGCTGTCGACGAGAGACGGCGATGTCGCCGACGACTAATTTTAGCGTTTGGTGAACCATGTGAGGCTCTGACCTTAATAGTGTTAGAAGACATAAATTAGTAATAACGGATACATCGAACAGCTTTGGTTGTTCCGCGAAATGATTAGACGCACCAATGGTATTTCGGAAGTGCGCCTTGTGGACGTATCTGACATAAGAACTACGTCGCTGAAAGAACGAGCTAGTGTGTGAATGAACTTGCGTGCGACAATGCGCGATTACTTCGCGAGAGCTCCAGTGACGGTTATAAACCTTCACATGAAATAACAAATAAACTATCGCGTGAAATTCAGCACGTATACGTGTGAGGCTCCAAACTATGCACGCACCCAACCACTCGAAGGCATGCACGCTTTGCCCCCGCATCGCGAGTAACCCGGCTGATCGGTCTGTGCGAAAGACCACAGAGAGCAATTTGCTCCTATACAAATACACGTAACAAACGAAACGAAGAGTGTCAATCTTAATGTGAATTCTCGCACTCCAGTTTTGTTCATAAAAATCATCAGCGCAGAATCTCTGACGTTTCGAAAGCACAATTTCGATCGTCTTTGCGCATGCATGCTAAGCGTCCACAAACCAGTACTGCGAACTCACACCACTCGGCGCATAACGACAAGCAGAACGTGTAAGCATATATTTTGACCAAAAAACAGCCGCCGCAGAAGCATTAATGAAACCTGAGTTGAAAATCGCGGCGTCTACTATACACAAATAACTGTGATTTGTCTACGGCATTCCAGCGGGCATTGAATTGAGCAAACATCAATGCATACTCATATTGAGAGACGGCGAACTTACTTCGCAAAGTTGATACGAAAATGTCGGCCTGAAATTCTCACTTTCAATTATCTGCAACCATGTTCTTTGTCGCAACTCGTTGCGCCTAACGGGCGGTATAATGAAGAGATTTCAGTCGTCACTACACTTGTTCTAGCAACATAAGGCGCAACAGCCGCCCACGGTAAGGAACGTCAGCGTGATTCCTGGGTGTAAAAAATCTACTGTACAATGCGCACGGAAAGAAAACTGCGTATATCCGTCAAAACAGATGCGCCATACCCGTGGAGTACGTGCCTCTAGAGCTATGATAGTAGTCCCCCGCGACTATAAACAAACAATCTCTTTTTGGCGTGTTCTGAACCTACGCAGCCATCCTAGAATTGCACTTACTAATACAAATGGCGACGTTGTTTCCAACTACGAAAGCGCTCAATTACTTAATGACGCTTTCTAATCTGTTTTTGTACATGATGACTTAACATCCAGCCCTCCCATCAGTATCCGAACTGACATATCGATGCCTCAAATAAGCATAAGCGAACAAGGAGTTTACACATCATTAAATAACCTTTCGCTCTCTTCCGCATCTGACCATCAAGAGTTTAACAAGATACTGAAAAATATCTCCCTAAGCCTCTCGTACATTCTGTGCCCTTTTCTCCCAATCCTTGTCATCTCGTATCATTCCTCACGGCTAGCGAGCGGCCAGAGCCATTCCCATTTTTAAGTCCGGTGATCGCTCTGTAGCGCTAAACAATTGCCCTATCCCTTTAACTAATGCAGACTGCGAACTACTGGAACATATCATTCACACTCAAATCATCAACTGTCTTGAGGAACACATCATCATCTTTAAACATCAGCACGGCTTCCGCAAAAGATATTCTCGTGACACTCAGCTCGCTGGTTTTGTACATGACCTGCATTCCTCACTGGACTCCGGTTTTCAAGTTGATAATATATCTTTCTAGATTATTCAAAAGCTTTTGATCACGTTTCCCACCACAAACCTATACTAAAATTAACCCAACTAAAATTCACTCCAATGTTGTTTCATAGATTAAAGAACTCCTTTCGCATAGAACACAGTACACAGTCATCAATAACGCTCATTCAAAGTATGTGAACGTATACCATCAGGTATACCTATATGAGGATGTTTTAGGTTCCTTGCTTTTTCTAATCTCTAAAGTTGATTTGCCTTATCGCGTGTCCTCCCATAATATACTATTCGCCGATGACTATGTACTATACCATGGTATATGTAGTAATGCCGATCACGAGCTCCTCCAATCTGACCTTGTCAAAAATAATACTTGGTGCACCTCATGATTAGTGCCCCTAATGAATAAAGAAAGAACGTTAATGTCATCTATCCTACACAAAACTCGCATACCGAAATCTGACGTTTTAGATATTACTGAATTAGCTCTTAGTAGTAGTTATAATTACCTCGGTGTTTACTTTCAATCAGATCTCACGTGGCATCATCACATTGACATCATTTTTGCTTCAGCTAATCGTTCACTCGGTCTTATCAAACATTCGCTAAAAATGCCCCTCCCTATAAACGTAAGCTCGCCTACTTAACGTTTGTTAGACCGAAAATCGAAAACGTTTCAGCTATTCGGGACCCAGTTCAAGCCTATACATCTGCCCCACCGCGATGGTCTAGTGGCTAAGGTACTCGGCTGCTGACCCGCAGGTCGCGGGATCAAATCTCGGCTGCGGTGGGTACATTTCCGATGGAGGCGGAAATGTTTTAGGCCCGTGTGCTCAGATTTGGAGCACGTTAAGGAAACCCAGGTGGTCAAAATTTTCAGAGCCCTCCACTACGGCGTCTCTCATAATCACATGGTGGTTTTGGGACGTTAAACCCCCATATAAATCAATCAAGTCTGTATACCCAGAATATCGAGTTCTTGCAAAGCCGTGCTGTGTGTTTTCGTATAGAGAGATACGTGTACATATACGGTGCATCACATTGACGCTGACGCCAGCGGCGATATCCAGCCGAGATTGTCCATATAATTGCTATCGCAATAATAACTCTGCGAGCGGACCCACGTGATGGCACGAGGCCGTCACGCAACTGCTTCTACCTGGTAACTACGCTTCTGCCTGGTAATTACGCTTCTAACGATTCTTTAGGGCATCCTGAAGTAAATATTTGAGCCACGTCAAGCGCCCCTAACGCACAGAGAGAGAGAGAGAGAGAGTAAAGCTTTATTCATAGGAAAAAGAAAAGGCAAATTTTAGAGCCTATTTGGTTGGGGCCCTATGTCCAGGGCCCCACTCGCCTTAGCCGCCCGCCGGACTTGATCGAGTAGTGCGAGCTGCACTCCTTGGTCCGAGCTAGCGAGGTGTGCCGGGCCATACTAGGTCTTAAAAGTTTGCCGAGAAAATGGGCTATGTCGCTTGGTTTACAATCGCACCCCCACAATATGTGGTAGAGAGTCGGCCTCCCGCCGCACCACGGACACACTGTCGGGTGAAGAGTTGGATGTATCGCGTGTAACTTCAGTACATGCAGTAATACATCCGTGTGAACTTTTACAAGGTCGGCGGCCTCTTCCCCATTAAGGGATATGTTCCACATTACCGCCGCGTGACGCTCTGGTGAGCTAGAATTTTTCTAGGTAAAATTGGTATGGTCAACGAAAGAGATGGATTTTCCGTTCGGGGGGGGGGGGGGGAGGAGTGATTTTAACGGAAAAGAAGAGAAAAGTGAGCCCCGTAACTGTCTCTCAGGGGGAAAACACCTCAAAAGTAGCTCACGAGGGATGGGGACAAAGGAGGGATTAAAAGGATAGCGTTAAAAGGTAAAGAGATAGAGAGGAAGGAGAGAGCGAGGCGGAGGGACAGCGAACGACGGAAGTGAGGAGAAGATAGGGAAGATGGAGATGGTCGCAGGAGTCCGAGGACGGGGCATTACTGGCGAGAGCTCTTGTCGGCGACTCCGCTCGGTTGCAAAACGCACTAGCTAGAGCGTCCGCCCTTTCGTTTCCTTCGAGACCTGCGTGTCCTGGGCACCTGATCAAGCGATGGTGGTGAGTGAGTTGGGATACTAGCAGCCTCAGCCCAATTGTCGGAAGGTGGCCAGTTAATGATCGGCCCGTATCTGCATTTTAATCTGCAAATGTCGTCGAAGGACGATAGTCTTGCGTGTGGAGAGAGTGAACAAAACAGTTATTTGATGTTCTGTGCAAGAAAATCGGTGAATGGTATTCCGGAGGTGCTGCAGAGAGCTTCGAGCGTGCAGTGGAGGCAAACGAGTGCATCAAGTCACGTCACGCATGAGACATATGCGCTATCTGGCAGTTTTCTGGGAAAACAAGACGCGCGGCTCTGAGACGGGCATGCGCGCCCATCTCAGAGGTGATAAGGTGTACAACGCAAGGCGACGGGTAGGTGCCACCACCGTGTCGTCCTAGCAAAGCGTTGAAACCACTCGTCTTTTCGTGCAAGCGTTACATGGTCAGCGCAGCGTGAAAACGCTACGGTCCTTGGAATTACTTATGCATGCCTTTTCTAGTAAAATACGCACACAGATATATACGTGTTATGGTGGCTCAGATATGCGCAATTATTGCTTTTTAATTGACAATCGCACAAGTATGAACGCTGAATCTTGAGAAACATTGGTGGGCGCTGCGGATGGGGGTCGGCCATTTGGTGTATTGACTGTTGCCGTTCGAAATACCCAGTACTGTTGAAGGTGACAAACAGACAAATGTACAGACAGACAGACCAAAATTTTTTGCGTCTAAAGTCCCAAAGAAAGACTATCGTCTTTAAAATAGCCGGCAGGCTTCCTGGGAGTCAGATAGAATAGCTGATGACTCTCTTATACGCTCCTGAAACCTTAAAGGAGCACTGACATCAAATTTCAAGATCGAGA